TGGACAAAGGGTGGGAAAGGGGGGTCTCCCCCGACCTGTCCCGGAGGTCGGTGCCCCGGGGCGTGCCCGGTGGTGTCCCTCGTGGGGACGCTGCGGAGCCGGGAGCCGCTGATGGATGGTCGCCGGGCAGCGGGGAGGCAGGAGAGCTCTGGGCTCCAGGAGTGCCCGGCGGCAGGGCCCGTGGTAGAGGCCGACCAGGGCCGGGGCGGGCGCGGGGAGGGAAGGCGGGAGATCCGCGATGGCAGCTGGTGCGGCTCTTTGCTGCTCAGCCCGATCCACTCGTCCTTGTGCCTGCAGAGTGTGGCCTGCGGCCGCTCTGGTCGGGATGGGGCCACACAGAGCGGACCTGACACCGGGCGGCTGAACCTCGGCCTGAGCACCCCGCGTTCTGGGGAGACGGCGCCTCTATGTAAACACACAACCAGGGTCCTGCCGGTGTGTCCAGGCCTCTGTTCGGTCTGACCTCCTTCTCACTGTTCTCACCTGGCGGATCCGGCTCCAGCTCAGGCGCCACCCGCCCTGAATCCCACAGGGAGCCCAGAGGTTACACTGGAGGGTCCTGGAGCTCCAAGTGTTTGCAGACAAGCAAATGGATCGCTACAATCCCGCACGGCAGGGTGGGCGCCCAGAAGGGAAGGACCACGGCTGAGACCACGGGGAGGCACTGACATGGGAGGCCGTCCGGAACCAGCCGTGGGGAGGCCCGTGGGATAGATGCCTGGGCTTGCCTGGGTGGTGGCAAGTTCAGTGGGAAGTCAGTGGGGCTGGGGAGAGAGGTGGGCTCCTGGGCCTGGCACTGTGAGACAGCCAACACCGCGTAATGGACGAAGGAAGGAGTGGACGAGGCAGATGCCTCTGGGTCGGAGCAGAGCGAGGTGAAGGTGACACAGGGCACGGCAAAGAGGGGCCCTGACAAGAGGCGGGCCCAGGCCAGGGAGGGTGCCTGGGTCCTGGGCGAGGCAGTCCAGCCACCGGCTTTAGAGCTGGGTGCCCCAGGGCCCACACCAGTGCCAGCTGGCTGGCCGAGGCAATCTGTCTGAACTTTGCCCGTCTCCTAATGAGAATGGGAGGCCCAGGCACCCACCTTGGTGACACCTGTTACTGTTCATAAGGGCAGTTGGGCCCCATCACCCAAGCTGCCGCCTGAGGTGGGGAGGAAGGCTGAGCCACCCAATCACCATCCTTCCCTCAGCTTGTCCAAATCCAGCCGCAGCCTCTTTCCCCAAAGCCCTTGGGAGCTCACGTCACCAGGCCTGCTCGTGGCCAGGGGTCCGGCAGGGAGTGCCCAGCCTGTCTCACCCCTGCGGCCTGCCTGCTTCCTGCCCACACACGGGCCTCTCCATGTCTCCACCTCCTCCGCCACCCCAGGCGCAGTTGGCAGCCGTGGCCCAGCCCCTCTCAGGGGCTGGGCAGTCAGTAGGGGCGGCGGGTCCCTGGGGCTGGCCAGGCTCGAGCAGGCAGTGCCTGGGGTGGGGGACAGCTGGCACAGAATGGCTGGGGCCAGGCCTGTGAAATGCACTTTATTGGCTCCCAGGAAAACAAGATTAGAAGTGGACACACGCAGGACCTGGGCACTGGACCTGAGGGGCAAGGTGCGGGGCCTGGCCAAGCCTCGGTTTCCCTGAGGAACGATGTGAATGCTGGCTCCACTGGACAGCTGCCTGGAGCCTCCCTGGGGGAAGGGTGGCATGTGGGCCGAGTTGCTGGGCAGTGCCCTTGACTCCTGGCAGGGTCTGAGGGTGCTGCCCCTGGGCTCTGCCCGCTGAGCAGCCGCGGGGTCTGGGGGCAGGGGCGCCGGGCCACCACGCTCACTGCTCACTTCCGCGCCTGCTCGTAGTTGTCACTGAACCAGGCACAGGTCTCCTTCACAGCTGCAGGGGGGTGAGGGGCGGCAGGTGAGGGCAGGGCTGCATGGAGCTCCAAGGGAGGCAGGGTCGGTGGGGTCCCCAGCCTCAAAGGGTTTGAAGACCAAACCTGCCAGGCGTCCACCCCTGGCTGGTGTAGGAAGCTGAGGCCTAGGGTCGGGCAGTGGTCG